GTTGTCTATCTTTACGTCTCATGTCTACAAACGTAGCAGGATTTCTGGCCTTTGCAAAACGGATCACCATGTGTTGTCTATCTTTAGGTCCCATGTCTACAAACGTAGCAGAATTTCTGGCTTTTGCAAAACGTATCACCATCTGTTGTCTATCCTGAAGTCTCATGTCTACAAACGTGGCAGGATTTTTGGCTTTTGCAAGACGTATCACCATGCGTTGCCGATCTTTTTGTCTTATGTCTACAAATCGTAGCAGGATTTCTGGCTTTTGCAAAATGCATCATCATGTGTTGTCTATCTTTACCTGGAGATTCGTTTGTAGCACTTTTTCCTGGCAAACCATGGTTTTGATACACTTTTTGGGCTTTTGGAGCGTTTTCTGATATTCTGAGGATTTGGTGATACTTTGTACGCTTTTTGGAGGTCCAACCTAAATTGGAACAATGATTCATTCTGGCATTTTTGTTTAACATAAACAACCATGTTCGACAAAGTACATATCAAAATATGCTACCCGCAGTTTGGACGCAAATTCGCGCTAGATGCACGTCAATTCGCGCAAATGAGCGCAAATTCAAAAAGGGTACGAACTGTGATTTTTCAACCCCCCTGAAATGATTGATTTCAGACTATTGTGTCTAATGGGGCGCGGTGAATAAGGATGATGCACGTTTTTCATTGATTTCGGCCACATTTCGGTAATTTGTGCTAAAATTGATTTGTAGCACTTTGAGTGTATCGGTGGAAGGTCCAGGTAAGTCTCATATCTACAAACGTGGCAGGGTTTCTGGCTTTTGAAAACGTACCAGCATGCGCTGTCTATCTTCAAGTCTCATGTCTACAAACGTAGCAGGATTTCTGGCTTTTGCAAAACCGAATCACCAAGTGTTGTCTATCTTTAAGTCTCATGTAAACCAACGTAGCAGGATGTCTGGTTTTTGCAAAACGTATCAGCATGTGTTGTCTATCTTTACATCTCATGTCTACAAACGTAGCAGGATTGCGGGATTTTGAAAAATGTATCAACGTGCGTTGTCTATCCTGAAGTCTCATGTCTACAAACGTGGCAGGATTTTTGGCTTTTGCAAAACGTATCACCATGTGTTGTCTATCTTTACACCTCATGTCAACAAACGTAGCAGGATTTTTGGCTTTTGCAAGACGTATCACCATGTGTTGCCGATCTTTTTGTCTTATGTCTACAAACGTAGCAGGATTTCTGGCTTTTGCAAAACGTATCAGCATGTGTTGTTTATTCTTAAGTCTCATGTCTACAAACGTAGCATGATTTCTGGCTTTTGCAAAACGTATCACCATGTGTTGTTTATTCTTAAGTCTCATGTCTACAAACGTAGCAGGATTTCTGGCTTTTGCAAAACGTATCACCATGCGTTGTTTATTCTTAAGTCTCATGTCTACAAACGTAGCAGGATTTCTGGCTTTTGCAAAACGTATCACCATGTGTTGTTTATTCTTAAGTCTCATGTCTAGGATTTCCGGCTTTTGCAAAACGTATCACCATGTGTTGTCTTTCTCCAAGTCTCATGTCTACAAACGTAGCAGGATTTCTGGCTTTTGCAAAACGTATCACCATGTGTTGTCTTTCTCCAAGTCTCATGTCTACAAACGTAGCAGGATTTCTGGCTTTTGCAAAACGTATCACCATGTGTTGTCTTTCTCCAAGTCTCATGTCTACAAACGTAGCAGG